TAATAATCATAATAATAATGGTACGATTGCCAGCAACGAATTTAATCGAATGATATCTGCAAGTATGTCCATCTGGATTATAAGTTTTTGCAAAACATTTGCAAACTTTTCCTGACATTTATTGATATGAAACAAATACAAATAACATTGCAATATATCTCTTATACGATGAGATGTTTCCAAATTCAAAATATTAAAATAGTAACATATTAAAATATTATTGGATTCCCACCCTCTCTCCCTCTCGAGTATTTCTAAACATAAATTGAAGGTATAATTGATAATAATTAAATGCTGATTAAAAGTTATAAAAAATTTTGATAAAATTTATTGGACGAAATCAGTAGGTATCAGTAGGTAATACTTTCAAATAGCATAGTAATAGGATATTTTACGAACAAAATAAAAGCTAATTCTTTTGTCATTGAACTTAATAAAATTTTTGTTCCGATATTTAATTAAGATATGCAATGGTTTTTTTAATAATCGGAAATTACGGATGCTCAATGAAAATCAATAATACACAATATTGTTGATAAGAACGAACTATTAATATTTCACTGAAATCGATAATATGCTGCGCTACTCATAACAAAAAAAATTCTTGAAAGAATTTGATAATGCAGAAAATATTTATCAATAAAAATAACAGTTAATACTTCACGGAATACTTTACTTTGTCGACAAGGATAAAAGTTATTAATATTTTCCGAAAATCGATTATTATATATCGTATTATTTGTAGTGGAAGGAAATTGTATGTCTTTGATGTGAAAATCAATCAATTGTCTAATATTATCCAACAAAAAGATGACAATCACGAATACTTTCTATGCATCAATGATAAGTGATATTATCAGAAATGACAAGGCATTATGAAAACTTCATATTAATTGATGAAAATAAAATAAAAAAGAGAGAAAAACTTCATTCTTTCGAATCTTTTCACATTCTTTTTTCTTTCCTTTTTTTCCTAAAATATTTTTATATAAATTAGCTGAAAAATGGAAAAAAAAAGTGCTATGTCCACATGAAATGTTGGTTGTTAATGCAAAAAGATTTGAAGAGAAAATACAAATGATGAAGAAAGTATGCTTTCAATTTCTTCTTTTTCACTCTCCCTTTACCTTTTTCCTTCTCTCTTTCTCCACCTTTTCATTCTTTTCCCTTTCTCTCTTCCTCCCATCTGTTTTCAAACTATCATCTTTTTGAACAAATCATAAAATACTTTTAGGGCGGTACCAGTAATTTTTTGGATCAATGCGCCAAGAATACGGTAAATGCTCGACCAAGTATTGAAAGGGAAGAGATGGAGGAGGAGAGAGAGAGAGAGAGAAAGGGTGGGGATTGTTTAAAATAAAGTAAGTAGCGCATGTTCAATCTATTTGAGAAGCTTTTTCCGATGATGCTCATCGTATCGACCAATGTGAAGCATGTCACCCGTTTTCAAGCAAATGCTATATTTATCTCTCCACCTTCTCCTCCTCCTCCTCCTCACCGTTAAACTTCGAAATAACAACCGATCGACTATACTTCAATTGCCGGAACTGTTTTATCTTACCAAAAAATTCATTCCTATCATTTGGAAAATAATCGCTTAAATTTACAGTTATTTCCGGGTCTTTCTTTTTCCTTTTTTTTTGGAAGGTGTTTTTTCTTTAATCACCCAACGAGAAAATATTATACAATTCATATACGGTATTGGTAACGTAAACAAAAGGAAAAGAAAGAAGTAAAGGAGAAAAGAAGAAAAAGAGAAAGAAATGCAATCATCACAACGGTTATATCCCGGACTGAATACGATTACATCCACCGCTACAATGACACGTTATTCACCTACCGGAACCGGCGCAACAACCGCAGCAGCTGCATACCGTACTCGAATGCCTAGTGTAGGTATTCATAAAACTTACCATTATTTAATTCATAAAATTATTGTTTCTTTTCATTTATATATTCCATTCAATAAACTTATCCGTTTTTTATTTATTTTGAAATATATTAAATATATCTGTTTATCAAAATTATGCAGTAAATAAATTCTTATTAAATTAAAAATTATTTAATCATTTTGCTGATTATAATAAATGTGCTAGTAGTGGTACTAGTATTAGTAATGAGCCAACAATCATTTAAATTAAATTTTTATGATATTAAAATAATGACAGAATAATGCAAGATATATTTTATTCATTTATGAAATTTACTCTTCCATCTCTACCAACGAGCAGATTGATATTATTGTCAAAGGGTTGTCAAATGATAGTGATAGTTATGAACTATTCATTCGTATTCATTGAAATATTCATTCATTTCTAACCGGTATCTTTATGCATATGTCGTTTGCATATATGTGTGATTACGGATGTACTTATTTCTTTATTTATTTATCATTTATTTATTTATTCATTCGTGTATTTATTTACTTATTTACTCATTTATTTATTTATTTCAATGAATACGAATGAATAGTTCATAACTATCA